GTACAAGACCAGCCATTTACGCTGCAGAGAAAGCCAACAGGCAGATGCAGACTACAATTTTCAAAGGTGGTTTATGAACTGCTTGCAGTTTAAGGGAAACAAAGCCTAGGTGCATTTGTAAATTATTTGAAGCGCTCTGTTTGCAGATGTAGATCTGTCCTGCGGCTTCTTATTCCTGCCCACCAGGGCAGCATCCAAGCACCCTCCCCATAAAGTCACTGGCAATAGCAAAGCCTCTCATGACTTAAGGGAATCCGTGGGGTTTTCTGACCCCTTTTTTGGATTAAAACATTGCTGCAGGCAAGGGTTTTGTGAAGGTTATTTTATTAGTTTACTTTTCCTGGGGGTGTTTTTCTTTCTGATTTGTTCCTGGATCGGGGGATTTAAAATTTTGTTGTTATTGTTGTGACTTTCTTCATGTTTGGCTGGCTGGAGTTGATTTGTGGAGGTTCAAAGGGAATATTAATTTTGATCTAATAGTGACTTTACAATCGCTGCTGCCTTTTTTTTTTTCAATGCACAATTAGACTATATTAAAAAAAAAAGTTGTAACAAGACAGCTTTTCAAATTTTGCGGTTTTTTGCTCTTACCACCATGTACCCCTTGAAGAACACAGAACAGCAAATCTACCATTTTCTCCCAAGAAACGTTTTCATTTTAGCCTATGTGTGGAGCTAAATCCTGTCTCAGTTCCTTTGCTAGAGGGCCTGTGAGTTGCAGGACTGATGTGGTTCCCTCCCAGCTGTGAGATGAGGATCAAAGGAGAAATGGCATACTACAGAGAGCAAGTTCGAAGCAGCATGCTGGGTTTCTGTGCACAGAGGGCAGATGACAGTGTCCACAGGAAATAAGACTGCACCAGGCAGGAGCATTCAGTCTGTGGAGTACAGTCACCGTCAGGAATTTAAATTACAAAGAGATGACTGTTAGGCTGACACCTCGTGTGCTAGAACTGAAAATCCCAACGGTTTTTCCCCACTCTACCTCCCCAAAGCAGACACGCTTTGATATCTGATTAATTTGCACCTTCATCACTTCTTGCCTAGCCAGGTACATCACTCTCTCCACCTCTCCTGACTAAGGTACACTCCTTCCCTCCCCCCAGCTCCAGACTGTGCACCCACATTTCCCCCATCCCATCTCCAAATGTCCCAGCCAATAGCTCTGCCCCTTCCCTTCCTACATGTTCCTCAGCACCATCTCTCATCTCCAAAAGCTCAAGCTCTTTTCCTCATGAGGAAAGTGGAGGAGGATAATAATAATAATCCAGAACTATTTCTGTTCTTCCTCCCCTCTTTCCTTCCCAGGAGTGTAGGGGAGATTGCACAGCAATCCAGAAAAGTTCCCTGTTGCAACAACCTTTCTCCATCTACAGGATACTTTTCTGTTGTTCGATGAAGATCAGATGGAGGCATGTCTTGAGAGGATGTCTAGGGTTTATTAGAGTACAGGGTCTCCTCTCAAAGGACTGAGGTCCAGCCACTTCACGGCATTCAAATGACTCGAAGCCAAATCCCTTTTTCAAAAATGAAGAAGGCACTTGGGAAATGGAGGTCACGTCAAGAGTACGACCTTTAGTTAGCAAAGCCATATAGTACAAGAAAATGAGTCATCAGCTAGCAGGTCTACATGAAGAAGAAGTCACTATTCAGTGCTGTTCAATGTCTTCCCCAAAATGATTTCTTATCTTTCACCCTCTGAAAACTACTAGACAACAACTTCATCAATCTCTCTAAAAATATTTCCTATTTCCACAAAAAACGGAGTACAAAATCAGAGTTTCTCAAAATGTTCTTGCCTCTCAGAAGATTCAAAAATTGCTTTGCTTATAGATGAAGGTACCAATTATTTGAAGTATTTTATACAAATCATTTTTGGGATCATGTACATTTTGATGGTCCTTTTTTAAAAACAAAAATTGTTCGTGAGTGAAAACATTCTGGGCCAAAAAGTAACACTCCACCCAGCTCCATGTCAGGGCCTGCTTTCAGAGCCAAATGAGAAAATGTCTCTCTGTGTGACCTTCCCAGGTGTGCAAAGAAATTATTTTTTTTTCTCTTTGATTGCATCCTTTTTAGTTTCCCTGTTACATATTATTAATAATTTGATGCTGGACAAAAATTTTAATTTTTCTGAAAAGAAGAAAACTGTCCCTAAGACAACTGTCTCAAATGAAAAATAATGTTTCATTCAACCTCAGAAAAAAAAGACAAAGTAATTTGGTTTTATTTTAAATATAAAAGTTCTGGTTTTCAAAGTATGATGGAAAAGGTTTTGATATCCCAAATTTTCTCTGAATTATTTCCAGGTATGTTTTTCACCTATTTCAACCAGAAGTCATCAATAAATTTTAAAGAAGCAGAAATATACATATATTTTAAGAATAGAAGTAGATATCTGAAACTATCTGACCAATTCCATTCTCCTACATCCACACACATATGCAAATTACTGGAACATGGGCTACTCTTACACTGTGAAAGGCTACACTGCAAAAATTATCATTTTGTTGCTTCTACCTCAAAACAAGATCCTCAGCATCTTTTCAACCTTTATACAACTGAAATAATAATGAAAGAATCTGAAGTGAACTCTCTCAAGTTTTTCACCACCAGACTCGTAAGAAGGACCTATAGAACAATGTTACAAAGACCTTTGACCTTGGTTGGTTTTTTTTTTTAATACCTCTCAGAAACTATTAAGAGAATTCTTGTTCAGGACCTCAGATTTTCCACAACCTCATATACAAGGGTCTTCTCAGAGTCCCTATCTCTTTTGCTTCTGAGACTGAAGTTTTAGAGCATGGGAAGTGTGATGAACACTGTGGTCTTCCTGAAGACGTGCTAAGAAAGACTAAGAGAAGCTAAGTAACTTACCTACAACATTCGCCAGCACTACTTGAATCAGAATCATAGTAAAGTATGTGCCCTGCAAATACCATCTCCCCACAAAAACACTCTTCATTTCAAAAGCAGTACCAGTGTCTCTCTCTTTTTCATCTCTGTACTTGACATAATACCTTTGATGTTCAGTTGACTGTGGTTTATTGCTAAAATTTGTTGAGTTTTTCATTGTCTTGCTAAAAAGTTCTTCCTTCAAGGACAGCCCCATTTAATCCTTCCTGTTACAAAACACATACATGCATATCCCACTCCCCTTTATGTCTTATCCCATGGGGAAATTGAAGATTTTGTCTTCTTTCAGCTTTCACCAAGGTGGAAAATCAGAGGAAAGCACACTAATTGTAAATATATGACAAAATATTTTAATAGCAATTAATGGGAATACGCTCTTTGAAAACAGTACTTTGGCTAGGTGGAAATACACACACAACCACACATCTGTATAATTCCAGTATGGAGAGCAAAATCTCCTGCTCTGGCTCAGATTTAATACTGTCCTCACCCTATTCCCAGCACTGGTTTCAGAGACAACCCAGCACCCAGGCGCCCTTAGAAACAGATGAGATAGACTGGTAACAAGGAAGTGAAAATGCAAATGGCTACTCTGGTCTTTAACAAACAGAAATGTCTTTCTTTCAAGACCTGCCAGTCACCTTTCCATTACACTGAATGAACTCCCAGACTGCAATGTTTACGCTGTCTCTGCACCAGCTTCAACCTAGTTGAGCCAAGAAACTTCAAGTCAAAGCATATTCCCTAATATAGCACAGCTGTGTATTGCACAGGGCTCTACACTGGCCACAACTGGTGACAGCATTGTGCAAGCACATGACGTCTTGTTTCCTTCCCAGTACAACGAAATGTTTGCAGATTTCCTCTTGGTGGCATTCAGGCCCAACAAACCTGAAGGTCATGCCCGTTTCCTTAACATGGGATAGCTTACAGCTGCAGTGTTGCGAATGCCCAGAGCAAGCTTCACACAGACAACTGCTAGGCAGATTGCAAGCTGTGATGACTGCCTGTGCA